GCAGAACTCTTGAAGACATTGGCATAGGAAAATATTTTATGAACAAATCCTCAGTTGCACGGGCACTAGCACAAGAATCAACAACTGAGATCTCATCTTATTAAAAAGCTTCTGCACTGCAAAAGAAACCATCAACAGAACTAAAAGACAGCCTACAATGTGGCAAAAAGTTTTACCAGCTGCTCCTCAGACAAAGGACTCTTATCTAGAATATATAAAGAATTCAAAACAACCACCCCCCCAAATATAAAGACCCAATTCAAAAATGGGCATCTGAAATGAACAGACATTTCTCAGACAAAGAAGTAAAAGCAGCAAGTAAATATATGAAAAAATGTTCCGCATCACTGGTCATACAAGAGATGCAGATGAAAACAACACTGAGAGTCCACCTCATCCCACAAAGAATGGCTGCTATCAAGAAATCAAACAATAACAAATGTTGATGCGGTTGTGGGGAGATAGGAACCCTTCTCCACTGTTGGTGGGAGTGCAGACTGGTACAACCACTATGGAAATCAATATGGAGATACCTCAAAGAGCTTGGACTGGAGGTTCCATTTGACCCAGCCATCCCTCTGCTGGCTATCTTTCCAAAATAATTAAAAGAATCATATCACAGTGATATATGCACACCTATGTTTATAGCAGCACAGTTAGTAATAGCTAAAACTTGGAAACAACCCATATGCCCATCAGTTGGAGACTGGATAAGGAAGATATGGTTTTCTATAAAATGGAATACTACTCAGCCATAAAGAATGAGAAATTAGATTCATTCATAGGAAAATGGATACATATTGAAGATATACTCCTAAGTGAAATAAATGAGTCACACATGTGTAAATACTGAATAGTTTCTCTGGTGTGAAAAACTATAATGGTACATAAGATCCTAATGATATAATTGACAATGTGAAATAGGAAGAAAAGGGCTAAAGATGTAGGGGAAGTGGGAAGGGTAGGTGAAAGGTAATAAGCAAAAATAAAAAAATATGAGAAAATGAAAAAATGGAAATAAAGTATTTGTAAATAGGGAAGGGAGGAGGGGCTCAAGGGAGGGCAGGGACAAGGGGGAAAAATGAGAACCAAGACCTGTCATGTAAAGATACAAGATCCCAATGATGAATATAACTGTACTGTATACCTAAAATATGCCAATAAACTCAATGAGAGAAAAAAAGAAGGAATACAGAAAGAAAGGGTTCCACTGTGTGTTTCTTTCCTCCTTGGGTGGCAGGTAAAAAAATAAACTTGATGGTGAACATGTAATGATAAAACAATGTAGGTTTTGTTTTTATTGGTTCTCTGAGAGTGATGTAGGATTCACTATTTTTAATTTCTCTGAAATGTATGCTAAGATTCTATGTTGAGATTAAAGATTTCATTAAAAATTATATATTAAAGAAAACAGATTGAAAGGAGGCCAGTAAGATCTACTTTAGTCAAGGAGGGTTTTTGAAGACCCTTTGGACCAGATCACGTCCAAAGTTCAAGAGTCCCAAAAACATACCCATAATATTATTTGCAGTAGTTATTTACACAATTAAAAAAGAATGCAGCCTAACACTGAACACTACTCAAAAAGTCACTGAAGAAAAGAAGCAGGAATCACGCATGGCCCAGTTCTGTTATCATCATTTTGTGTGTGTGTGGTTACTAACAATAGTGTTAAAAATTTCCAGTGTAAGAACACTGTGATGAGTCTGTAGGTCAAGCCTACATGTAGAAGAGATGACAGAATGGAGCGTTTGCTGTGCTTTCAGCTGTGTAACACCTGAGTTTACTATGACTATTGCTGAGGTTCTAAGAAGAGTCCAGGGAACTAAGTGTTGACAATGATTCCTTCAACAGGGCTTTAAGACACTTTTGCTGCAGATTGTTCAAATTGTAAAGGAAACTGGTATCCACAGTGGGTATGTTTCTAATTAAACTTAGATCCAGTAATGGGTTACAGAGCTAAATCAGAGATGGACTGGGAGAAGTTATTTACTAGGTACATTAAAATTGGAACTTTTAATCTTTACTCTGCAAAGACAGGTACAGAACCTTACTAAATGCATGAGAATCACTGCTTCGCAGTCTCACATTTGTCTACATGTTTTGGAAAAACATGAGCAGAGTACAAACTCATACAATGAGACATTTTATGTGTCCTAAAATTTGCTGTAAGGCTTTATTCTACAAGACAACTTTCTATTTGAACTTGGGGGGTTACTTTGTTGTTCTATACATGTATTTAAAATAGAGTAAAAATCAGGTTGAAGTAAGTATCTTTCATAAAACATGGTCTCTATGGATTAATATCCTTAGATTTTAGAATAAAAGTATTTTACCTATACAAGAAATAACCATTACTATTTGTTATGAATTCAAATGAGCATAAATCCATTTACTAAATTCCTATTTTTATCATTTTAATTATGAACTTCACTTTATTTTTCTTCCAAATTCCTAAATTTGTTCATGCTTTAAATTCTACTCTTCTTGGCTCATATATTTCACACATAAACATTTCAAATAAAAGTATAACCATGAACTGGCAGGACCACAAGCCCAGTTCTCCTACTGGCATCTCACACTGCTAGCATCATTCTCAGTTTTTGACTCATTCACGCCACAGTTAAAGCATGTGGAAAGGCTTCATGGAGTTATCTACATCTAAAGTTTGTTTTTTGTTGTTATTGTTGTTGTTGCTACCTGTTAGAATCTGGAAGGAAAGTGGAATCAAGGATAGAAACATATGTAAAGAACATAATTTGCTGTTGGTGAAAAGACACAATGTTTCAGTTAGACAGTAGAAACAGATGATGTGTATCTGTGCGATATATATGTTAATTAGACTGTATAAATCATTCCACACTACGCACCACTCACAGCATCATTTTGTAGCCTATGAACAAATACAACTCTAATTTATCACTAAAAATATTGTTAAAACAATGTGATTTGCAACTGAAGAAAAGACAATGGCTCCCCATTGTTTCTGACGAGTTTAGGATTTTACCTAGGACTTCGGGTAAAAACTCCTGCCCGGTCTTCCTCCCTTCATCTAACTGCCCCTCTCCTCAGAAAGAGTTCCTGGATGCCTTCGTGGTACCGGGAAAGCGGCCTTAGGATGGTACAACTGCTAGGCCGAGCACTGCATTCTTCACTCAAGTCGGTCAGTAGTCTGTCCCTCTGCCCCTGGCCAGAAAACCTGCTCTCTTGTGACCACTGGTGAGGGAAGCGACGGCGATCTTCCTTTCGTTTCAGTCCCCTTACTGCATTCCTTTCTCAAAGTCCATTCTACCACGGTGGGCCGCTCTGTAATTTAGACACTAACAGACCTTCCACTTCTTTCAGAATTCGTGCTGCATATAAAACGCACCTAAAGGGCACTGAAATGTTTAAACACCCCATTAGAAGCTTAAGAAGATAAAGCTACATAGTGGTTGGAAATTACAGGTTAAGAGATCGCATTGAGGACGCCAAACAACAAATCAAATGGAAAACACCGTATCCGTATATACGGATAGATAATGTGCGAACCATGCGCTATGCCGCCCACTCAGACACAGCTGCTCCACGGCAGCACAGGCACCCAGTCAAGCCCACCCTAAAACACAGTTCAGGAATCAAACACAAGTTGAAAGTAAGTTATGTGAAATGAAATATGGGTACCAAAGAAACCTACAGGACGCACCGAATAGGTAGGTGCGCCCTGACCGAGGGTCGCTGAGGGTTTCCGAGCGGCTTCTGCGTAAAGCGTGCTGGTGGGGGAAATGCACAAAAGATGGGAAATTACTTCAAGAGCCCGGGAGGTTGTCCCTCGGGCCAACAGAAGCGACTTTTTCCTGATGACTCTGCCCCGCCCACGC